ATATGTCTAAATGGATAAATAAACTATTGCGTGGAACATGAAAACATGCAGGCTTTGTAACGAGGTAAGACCTAMAAATGGTTTTACCCACATATTGAACATGTTTTGAGATATATTTACCGATAATATTGCCCTGAAAKCTCTTACCCTTTTTCAATAAACTTGTAACTRGGAGTGTCTTTYTCGTCCTTTGAAGGAGTAGCAAGGCATTCCTCAGCATACACATTCAAGTTTCCTTTCTCTGACACCACTTGATATTGAACATACATGGGATCACTSAGCTCAACGCTGATAGGATAATCACTACTCTTATATTTAGTGGTGTACTTCTTATCTTTGTATAAGTCCATMAGGAAAGTAAAATTCCCTAACGCTCCTGTGGAATATAGAAAATATGTCTTAGTAAGAGAGTTTTCATCGCGTGCAGATAGGATACTCCGTCCATCGGTGTGACATTATCGCGCGCGCTGTGATTAGAATTATCTGAAAGCGCAAAAGTACATATTTTTTCGTGAGTGTTTAGTAATACACTTACCTTCTGTGGCATCTAGTCTTCGTTTTGGTTCAAAGTATGTCGTCCCACGAACTGTATGRGTTCTTTTGTAAGTACAATTGAATGGCAAAGTAAGGTCATCTTCACGTGTCACCGTTTCGCCCGGAGCTTTGGTAATRATCTCAAAYGCCCGAACGTGGTTATAGTAAGTAATTGTGTCCTTTTCCTCGACGTAATCCGTCTTACATTTGTCTAAATCAGTCTTTAGCGTAATGTATTTCCCTTTGACCTGCGCTTTGCAGTTTTTGTCTTTAAGGTGGAATTCCTTAGCGTTCAARGCAGGATACTCTTTTATTCCGATTTCAATTTTCATATCGTTCTCGTTACAAGTGACTTTAATATCTCTCTGTAAAGAAAAGATGAATATTATTAGGGTATGCAAAACGTTCTCTCAAAGAAAGATTCGCAAGAATCCTCACCACAACACCATGTAATGCAATTCAGGACACAACAAATACAAAACAAATAAAAAGCCAAAAGGGAAGACGCAGATGGTAACTGATTACAAAAAACTGCTTTCCAGAGATAACAGTGACCTAAGATCATGAAAATTTTACGACTCTTCTCAGCAAAACGGCAATTATGAAAATTTGATAAAATTAAACAAAACGTTCAGAATSAAAATAGTCAAAMGAGTAACTCAAACAGAAAACTAATTTAAACAAAAATGCTGACGTACCTCTCCTGTTGTTGGAGTCAAAGCAGGAGTCTTTTTAGGT